CATTTCGTATTTAGACACATCCCTATCCACACAATGATGTTATCCTCCCATCTGTTTTCATTTCACACTCGTGCTGGGAAGTCACCCCGTCAGTTCCAGAGAAAGTCACAGCTTAACACGAATTTAAATTTGACTAAAACATCCCCTAATGTTCTAGATTCATGTCCGTCAGTAATATCCTCCACTGAAAAAAGTATACAAGAAAAGTAGTGGTTTATTTAAAAGAAATCAAAGCAAACGTTTAAGGGTTTAGTTAGAGATCAAGCAGTGGATATTTTCAAGTCTGGAACCAGCGTTGAATTTTCTGAAAAACAGTAAGCCCAAGAATTTAGCTGTAGTCACTTATGTGTCTTCAGAGTCACTTTTATCTCGGGCCAAGGCTCAGCCGGTTGAGGGGGACAGTTGGTATGCCTTTGGCGACTAGAAAGCTCGATACTAGTATTATTGACACGAATGGTTTCTAACATACCTGCACATCCACCCTGTGGAACGATTGAAATGCTCTTGTTTTTCTTGCAGGCATGCTTCTCAAGTTGGCACGAATGTTTGTAGGTTCTGCCATCTGAACCACAGACTTTGCCTCCTTTTGGAGAGCAATTAGGACAAACGCAAACAACGCCACTGTCTGAATGAACGCAGTTTGCATATGGCGGGCAGGTTATTTCGGCGCAAACTGTGAGGTAAAAAATAAGTGGTAAAACAGTCAGCGCCAGGCCTTTGCGTCGTGAGAAGGGAGGTCACAGGTCACAGGTCACAGGTCACAATAACAAATATTGTGAATTTGCGGTGAGTTCGTATTTATATCGTATTTAGTTTCCATTTCGTATTTATACACATCCCTATCCACCCAATGATGTTGTCCTCAGAGCTGTTTCTCTTAAATCACTTTAACAACTGTTAATCTAAAATTGCTAGTTTGAGATTCCAATGTCCTTGAAATCCGCTTTTATCAAAAGCTTTTTAACCCATATTTGTTCTAATAAGATAATTGTTTGTTAATGGTTTCATGGAAAGTTACTAATGGTTTCTAGTAACACCGGTATCCACCCTACCCCAGAAGGGATAAAGCCAACAGATCAGGTGATTAGTAGTCGAGCACATGGTAGCGAAGATGGCCGACTATGAAGTGAGTGGCCAGTTTCTTTTCGTTTATTAGAGGATCTTGTCCTTTTTTTACCGTTTAATATCCACAAAAAGCTATCGGTTAATTAAATAGCATCGTGTACGTTTTACTACCACGCGATCAGATCATGTACACGCGTCTTGTATAAACAATGACGGTGTTGTTTACGTCATAAGTTCGAAGCGAACTACGACATAAATACGAACTCACCGCAAATTCACAATTATTTGTTATTGTGACCTCTGACGTGTGACCTGTAACCTCTACCTTAGCCCCGCCGAAGATATCAGCTTAACTCAGATGAGCTTATCTCGCCGAAGCAACTTGATACCTTTCGTGGAAAAAGCGAAGCCCTTACCGAAATCTGGCAGTTCACTTCAGTGTGAATTCTCTTGACAGAAACGTCCAGCAAAAGAAACCGAAAATTTTTGTGTAGTTATGTCTTTTATTTTATGGCTGAACCGGTCCAGGGTGAAAAGGAGAATTCTGATAGGTTGCCTGTGTGGCCCGACTTTTGTGAAAAAGCGAAAGTATCTAAGTGTAACTAAGCCCTTACCGAAATCTGGCAGTTCACTTCAGGGTGAATTCTCTTGGCAGAAACGTCCAACCAAAAGAAACCGAAACTTTTCGCTTAGTTATGTCTTTTATTATATGGCTGAACCGGTCCAGGGTGAAAAGGAGAATTCTGATAGGTTGCCTGAGTGGCCCGAATTTTGCAATGTGGACCACTAAGATGGATCGCTCACGAACTGATTTCGGCAAATTATGCTTTTATTTCACTGTCATCGCACTGAATAAACAGTTTTTCTTAAGAAGAAATCATTTTACCTTCATATTTAGAAGACAACTTCAGTTGAAAGTTCACAAAAGCGACGTGAGAAACGTAAATAAATGCCTACCTTTCGCGCGCGCGTTTACTGAGAAAGGATCGCGGGAACGCATGCATCAATTTATCACCAGATTGAAAAGAGCTATTATAACAAATACTTTATTGAACTAGCTTGTTTGCGCCGTATTGGGAAAATTTGGTCGAGTTCTTTTTGGCAACTGTTCATGGACCATAAACCATAAACCTGGAAAAAAAAGAATTCGACTAATATTTCTCCAATATGGACCTCACACCAGTTCAATAACATACATCTGTTATATGACTTTGGCTTATGGCCGATATAACGCGCGCTCTGATTGGCTAAGAGCGAGATCTGAGCG